TGGGGCTATACCACTGGCTTGAGGGTTCAACTTCATCGTACCTCGTATAATCTACAATACAGTGCGTTTCAAAAGTATGTGGACACCTAACAATTCACGTTAAAAAGGTAACTAAGAGGCTTCGTGCTATGAAATCCTTCCTCAATCGATTTCTCGTAGTCGATAACCTATCATGAAGCAAAGCAGATAATATCGCCTCACTTTAAAAAAAAATTTTGGATTGAATTTTTTCTTTGTTTCAAAAGTATGTGCACACTTAACAAAAGACAAAAACATAGCTGAGATTAGAAATCAGTGGGGCCTCCAGAGTTTCTAATTAGCTCAAACATCCTGTCCGGCATAATCTGAACCACGTTTGCATAGCTGTTTCGTCGCTGTCGGCCCAAATAGCCTCTACCGCCGCCTTCAGTTCATCCGCGGTATTATACTGCCGGTTGCTAAAGTTAACGCCTTGATCAAGGGCTCCCTATAGGGTTGCAGTAAGGAGGACACACAAGCCAATCTATCGCTTCAGCACCATTTGGTTAAGGCCATTCTTTGGTAGATTGCGAAGCATCGAAAGACACGTGGTCCTGTTGCTAAAAATGCAATTTTCGCTCCGCTTCGCTAAGGAAAGGGCAACAGGTGACATTGGAGCACTGCTTGGTATTCTTTACAGTTCATACGCAATAATGGAACGGCAACTTCCAATTTCCGCTGCTTGCGAAACCGCCGCAGACCCATCAACGGGCCTCTCTCCGAAATTCCGTCCTCGAGAACAGGAGCGATTCATGGCCAAGCCTCTTCAGCAGTCCTCGTCGGCCTAGTCTTCTGAAGGTCCCTATAGGCACTCATAAATATGAGCCACTTAAACAAGTTTGAGGAAATTGAAGTTTTAGCCAAAAAAGGCAATGAGCTGGATAGCTTTTCAGACTTGTCGACTTGAATGTCACCGCGCAATCCTTGTTACCGGCCTCCAAGATTTTTTTTTGGAAATTTCACTTCAACAAATAAAATGGACCAGAAATCCTGGACCGACCTAATAGTACTAACCGTGAGAGATGCATGCTATTCATGATCTTACTCTTTACACATCTTTACATCTTTAAGCAATACGATCCAAAGTGGTACCCCTACTTCTTGCCTCACTACTTCGAATACAGAGAAACAACGGATTTGAAGACAAAGAAAATGGTAAGGAGCATGCACAAGTTAAGTATGGCAGAATTCACGTCTAAATATCTTCACTGTAAGAGATGGGTTTAATGGTTGAATGCATGAAGGATGGCAACGTTTTGCCCTGTGTCGAAAATAAAATTTCACAACTGTGATAGTGTTTTGATAGATATAACTCCAGACACTACATAACACTGTGAACCTGTGCTACTTGTCGAATAAACTTCAGACTAATCTAACAATCTAACTTCCTAGAGAAAGGCATACGCTCCACTTTGAACGAGTCATCCAATGCCACAGACTCCTTTTTTCAAAACACTGACGGGGTAGCCTGCCAGGGATCTTCATAACGGAGAGCCCAGTCACCATTTAGAGGCCATTGTGAGAGATGTATTCGTCACTGAGTTTACCTGCATTTTCACTGCTTCATTCCTCGATTCCGAGGGATTTTCCTCTAATTGTTTGAAAATGTGTAAGTGTATATAGAAGTTCAACGCTGCAATATCACGTCCGCTCTGCAACGCTTAAAGTGCTGACTCTAAATGGATGTGATTGGACGCTGTGGTATCTACCGTTTTCGTGCTGAATAAATGTGATGCACTTGCCCTTCAAATGAGATCAAAAATATGAAGAATCGCGGGGTAAGCAGTGCCGAAACGTGCTGTATAATCGCTTATATTACATTTGTGCTCGGAAGAGGTCTCCTGATTATCCTAAATATCCCACTAAATAATATCACATACATATAAAACGCTGTCTGTGTTGTGTGTATGTGTGTGTACGTGTGTCACGAAATTCATAGCGCACCGACAGCAGTCATCAGGAGTTGATTCTAGGATATGATATAGGGGGTGGGACGGGAACATATTTGGTGGGGACAGAAAGTGATAACAACTGATAAGGGCTGATAAAAGGCGCTAGAACGCAAGTGTCGCGAAATTCATAGCTCGGGCACCAGTGGTCGTCAGGAGTTGGTTTCAAGATATGATATAGGGGGTGGGACGGGAACATATTTGACGGGGTTAGAAAGTGATAATATTGGGGAGCAGCCACTTTGCTATGATAACACCAAAAAAGCTCTGCCAGTGTGCACTGCACTGCGCGGAACTCTTTCCAGTCGACTTCAGAATACATTCTTCATTTGGTGTTATAGACCGACCATACGTGTGATTTTTTCTCAGGCATCTATACATCGGAAACCAAACAATTGCCACAATCTAAAAGACTAGAGCAACTGGAAAAAGTTGGAAAAAACAGGGTGTATGTGAAATTAGTTGTCACTTTGCCAAAAATCCAGCTGTTCAGGTTCTGGAAACATATCTTATTCTTCACCGCTGGGAGTATACACGGGTTTACCTGGATTATCGTTAATTGAACGAGACATTGGCAAGGTTCTCATGAAGTGTCGTTTGCTCCGCAAGCCGATCAATTTGTTCCTGCACACCCCTTCTCCTGTCGAACTCGATACCTACATCAAAGTGTTGAGCAGGAACGAACAAATGAGGCGACGCGACTTACTGACACTCAAGGTTTTTAACCTTTTCCTATATTTACACTGGTGAGCAAAACTTAGGGACGAAGTAACTTTCACATGATATCTGGTTGCTAGCTAACCTAGGTGGATCAAATTTGGCACATATATAGAAGTAAATGTTGCGGTACAGTGCAGAGAGTTACTAACAGAAAAGCGCAAAGGGGCGATTGGAAAAGACATTTTTCTTCAAATACCCTGTCTGAAGCGGTCGATAGGTGAGGCTTCTCCAACTCATGGTAGACATTCAAAAGAGAGGAGCTGGTTCTTGATGGGGTGTATGAAGACAGTACGGGCTGCAAAGCATGCTTTGTTACGTACTACCATACTGGCCACAAGTTTGGTCAGGTGTTCTTGTGAAAAAGCTATCCGCTCCTTGAAGACCGCGATGGACAACTGCTGGACAATTGTTGGCGCATAGGGATGCGCGCAATCGCTCTCCTAAATCCAAGCCACACGTGCTTCATAGGATGTAACTGGGGTAAGTATGTAGGCAGGCTTAACCAACCGCCCGAAATTCTTGGTTTCAAGAGTTTCCCATCTAAGCTACTCGTGCTCTCACACC